GAGAATTTTGTTTACTAGGTATAGTAACTTACGAGTCCATGACGTCAGTCTTTTGACATTAGTATTCCACGTGATGTAAATATTTTCATTTTCAAATGATTTGACAGACATTTGAGCACACAAATGTAAAGAAGCTAACCATATTTATTGTGAAAGTTTGTTTAACACTCCCTCAAACAATAGGATATTTTTCCGGACATTTGTTTGCTGCTGTCTTCTTGACGTAAATTGTTGAAGTGAAGGTACCACTGATGAAAAATACACAACATTTTCGAAAATGGCGTATGTACCGCTTTTTTCTTTTCTTTTTCTTTTTTTTTTTTTTCCTGCAGCAGGGAACTTAACCGTCAGTGTTTGCATATCTGTCAAACTGAGCGGGTTAAAGTCGCGAAATTAAAAAAAAAAAAATAGATCGCTTTTCCTGGAGTTTCTTGTTCACTTCAAAATTAATTAGAAAAAACGAGAAACCTTTCAAGAGCAAATGCATTTGATCAGTGACAAAACTGTAACTCAGGCGTAGAACTAAAATCATCAAAGGGCTATCACGAACTACATGCAATAACTCCTGGGGAAAGGATAAAGATCACGAAACTGGAACTATGCCTGAAATAAGTTACGTTTTTCGATTTTTAAGATATCAACAAGTGTACATGTACTGTGTTTTTTTTCCTTCCCAAAACGTCTTGATATATTTATTTATCGGTAGTAAAACTAGTAACCTTTGTGGCATTATAGCTGTTGAAAATGGAATAACTAAAATAGGGTTCCCACTCCACTGATGAGAAATCAGTGGGGAATAGGGATGTTATGTGTGTGAGGGTGGGAATGTGTGTGTGTGTATAACAATAAAACATTTTAAGAAAATGAAATGTATATATTAATGGTTAAATTGAGGGAGTGACCTATAATGCCACAAAGGTTGCTAGTTTTACTACTGATAAATAAATATAGTAAAACTATTTTCCTTCCCAAAACGTGAATATCTTCGCTAAACTACTATACCTGGTTTTAACCCCAGCCTTAAGTTAATAACACATTTAACAATTAAAATATCTGTTGTTTTAAACTTTCTTTTCGTTTTATTGATTGTTAAACTTTATTAAGTTATTAACTGAGTATTCTTAGGCCT